CTGGGAACGAGAAAATTTTGACATCTCTTGTTTACGTGGATGGCGTGGTATTCTAATACGTCAGAGCTCTAAACTCCAGATAGAGCAGAACGGGTTGGAGCCCAAGGGATTATTGCATTGTGATTTTTGGCGATTTGTCGGGGAAACCTGACAGAATGCAGTCGAGTAGCACGTCACCTTATGCGGGGGAGGGGCAGCTGCTACGGAATCAGAGATAAATAAGTTTTGTCAGCCGGTTGGAGTTCATTGGCTCCAAAATTTCTTACCTCGGCATTTCTCCAGGCTTATCATCCGGAGTAGGCCGGTCTTCGGCTCCTCCAATCCAATAGTCACCTTGTTGATTAGCAAGCTGTGCCCTGTTACGCTCTGATGGGTTATCACCATAGGTCGGCTGGTTGTTAAACACTGTACCAGTCTTAGCCCAACCACCGAGTGTTCCATCTTCAAAGTCGAACTTGCAAGCTTCAAATATAACAAAGATTTGTAAATGTTAATGTTCCCATGTATACTTTGCTCTGAAATTGCTGCAGTTAACGTTCTGTCATTGTAGAAGTTGCATTATTGTGCAAAACACTGTCGTTTAAAATTAACGTACTGTGATCGACCCTGTTCAGTTCTCGTTAGTTGCTGTATGTATACTTAGTTCAATTCTGCAGTTTGTAGTTTTTTATGTTTTGTAGTTTATAGAATTACTTAAATTAAAGGAGACTTCATGAGTGCGAGGTTGAAAGTCAAAACCTAAACGACATATTTTCATCGATGAAAAACCAGAAATAATGATTCGTTTTGTGACAAATTACGATTAATAAAAGAGCCCTGAAGCAATAGAGTTAAAACAACTTTTTTGGACCCAAATTATAGCAGTTTAAGGTTTCCGTTAGTTTGTTTGAAGGCAGTTTTGGACATTGCAAAAGTGCGTCGCAATATGCTAACAAGATTACTTTTAAGTATACTTACGTTTGCACTTGTCCATGCACGTTTCTTCCAGTGCCTTTAACTTCTCTTCCAGCATTGCTACCCTGTTTCCTAAGTTTCCAAAAGGAACAGCGTCAGGTTTGGCATCTTCCATCATCATAAACAACACCAGGCAGGTCATAACAGCAATTCTCCAATGATTGGCCATTTCTGTGGAATGAAATTTTGCTGGCACACGTATTAATTCTTTACACACATATTTCTATAATGGAACGATGTTTTGGACCCAAATTTAGGTAAATCAAGCTGTTTGATATAAGTTAAGTTTGATACGCAAAAACAGCAATAAGGCTGTTTACGTCTCGTTCCGTGAAAAACGCAATGATATATTTTCTGCATGTGCATTTCAGTTTCCTCCATACATGTAAATTAAAAGCGACAACATTTTCCATTTAGCGTGGTTATTTCCTCTCTGAATTAACTGAACCGACGAACAAGGAGGAACTCGTTTTTACAAAAGTGTTTGTCGATAAGCCGTGTTACGTGTGATATATGCATGCATTTACTATTTCAATGAGGTGTATGTCTACAAAGTTAATGGCAATATTTGTCTGATAGCACTGCGCTATCGTAGCAACACATTCAAAACAATGACAGAGAAAAAGAAATTGATTGTGGAAGGAAATACGTCCGCCGGAATTTTTTGCACGATCATTTCAGTTTTTTAACGTCAATTCTAGCTTATTCATGTCTTAGAAAAGCTAAAAAGCCGGAGGGTCAAGAAACAAGTTTACAGATATATTTTAGGCAGCTTCTAAGACTGTTTAAAAACATGTGAAAGTAAGAGAGTATCTGGCTATATGACGTGGCACTGAAGTTTGATGCAAAGAGTAAAGCTTCTAAAAGCTGGCTATTTGGTTAATCATTATTACGCAGCCCAATACAGCGAGATTTGCATATAATGGAACAAAATTTTGGGCCCAAATCTCCAGGGGGTACACTGTAAATCATTGGGTAGAGGCGCGCCGCTGGGACACTGAAAACCTTACCCTGTAATAGAGACCATGATCAGCCTGATTTTGCAACCCTATTTAGACTAGGCACCAAAATCGCCTACCCTATATATCCCAGACTAGCCATTTTTAATGTCGAAACTTTATTACTTACGCTAACAAAACCAATGTCACTTTCGAGTTTTAATTTCTGTTATAGAACCCAGGGTAAACAACACTGTTCTAGATTAAATTATTTATACACTGATTACTTTTGCAGTAAATTATACTCTATTCCAGACCAAAACTATATATATGATTTCTATACCTAATTCCAGACTAAACTGCCTGAGAACCAGACCGTTTACAGCGACACATACCCATATAATTTATATATTACCCTTTTGTTAAATTACATTTGATTTCAATGTACAGCAACAAAGCCGTTTGCCATTCGTTGGGTGCAAAATTCTATTTTTTCCTGCATCTGCACTGCAATTTCCTTCATATATAAAAGTGTTAACGTTTTCCATTTAGCGTGGTTGGGCTGTTGCGCAGTTTACCTTTTAGGTACTTCTTCTCTGAATGATGTGAACACGAAGAGGGAAGAACTTCCCGTTTTACAAAAGCGTTTGTCGATGAGCCGTGTTACGTGTGATATATGTATGCGCTTTTCACTTGCGTGAGGTGTATGGTTACAAGGTTAGTGGCAATATTTGTCTGATAGGACAGCGCTATCGTAGCAACACATCCAAGACATTATTGACAGAGAAAAGGAATAATGCATGGAGTTCTTCGCTACTTCAGAAATGAAAGTAGTGCAGAAAACTCTAGCTATGAAGTTATCGCTGACACATTTTGAGATGATGGCGATGAAGTTATTAACTTTGTATTTATTACCTTTTAAAATCGATTTCAACTAATGGAAACGGTCCAATTTTGCATGTTGCACGTGGTAAACAATTATAATTCTAATTAAATCAAAGTGAATATGATTCTCGTTTTCTGTTTAATAGATAAAGAAGCCTCGACTGTGCTGTTAGTCTATCTGTTCTGTTGTAAAACACACATGAAGCGGTCGAGCACGAAAGAATTGTAGGGGAAACACGAGACGTAGTCGAGTGTTTCTTCTTCTTCTTTCGTGCTCTAACGTGTTCTAAGTGCTTTGCCACAGAACAGACACAGTCGTGGCTTCTTTATTTGTTTTATGAAGAAGAAGCCATTAATTTTCGCGCGCAATCAGCTAATATTTTCAAATCAAACTTTGGTCGCTTTCTATTCAACCAAAACTTCAAAATTTTCAAAATGGAACTTTCTTGAGAACTTTTCCAGAAAATCCGGTAATTTTCAATTTTCAACCGGAAACTCTGGAAAGCAATTTCGAAATTTGGAGGAGGAGGTTGTCCTCGTTTTCGTAAATTTTGTAAATTCGCATCTCACCTCAGTTGGGCATCTCACGCAAAGATGACGGCGACGTGTATTGGAAAATGGGTTAACATTTTACTTCGGAATCTTGCCACTTGTCTGTCGATATATACTAGTTACAGCTAAATTTGTCAAGAAAGCGTTTAATTCCAGTAAAAAAGTATGTCCCCGTTGTGTACCTGTTTGTTTTTCGTTCTGTTTTGCAAAGGTTGACCAAGAAATGTATGAAGATTTAAAACAAAGATTTATAGAGTGCAGACCCATTTTAAGTCAACCTCAATCCTGTCTACAGTTGTTCAAATAACGTGATTGGCTGACCAGACAACAGCTGTCAATCACAAACTGGACTTGAGCTAAACTTTCGGTTTCGAGCGGCTTTCGAGAGATGAACGATCGCTTCAAAGTTCGCTTTTTAGTTTAACCTAAAAATAAGGATCTAAATTTTCTTATCCAGTGGAATCCGGCAGCATTGTGGCTCTTGAAAACGTGCACTTTTGCAATGGAAATTTCGAAACAAAGAGTTCAAAGCTTACGACTAAACTGCTCCCACTGGTTCTACTTCGACTACAAGAGAGAATATCAGAGACAGCTTTCAACTAATCACTCGCCGGGCGAGCACTGTAATTGTTGAGGTTCATTTTACTTAAAAGCTTCTCATCAAAAATACAGACAGCTCAATTGGTGTTTTATGTCATTGTTTTGCATGCATAGTATAATTTCTTCCTTCGTAATAAATGTAGTGCCTTTTCCAATGGATTGAAAATTTGTTTATCTTACTAAGTGATTACCATATTGTCGGAATCTATCAAAACTAGTAATTTTAGTACGGTTTTAACACTGCTAGTACGGTTGTTAACAATGGCCTCTATGAAGCTAGGAGGGCATTCAAGCCACGAGAAATGAATAAAGGGAAGCATCTAAAATAAAAGAAATTCTTTGAAAAACTATCTTCAGTTTACAAGCGAAAAATGACAGGAAGGAGTGCCACTTTCTTGAAATACGTCTCTTTTAAATGCTTGTCAATGATATTTCAAGATAGGTGATTTATTGCATTGAAATGGCCGTGCCTTATTTGAATACGGAGCTTTTCTTTCGGTTTTACGTTTGTAAGGAGGCATAGTTACGTGCAACATTTTCTTTATGACTTTATGAATTTTATCGTCTTGAAAAGCATTGCCAATACGAGAATCTCGGCCAAGATATATAACCGGTGACTGCAAGCACTGACTCAAGATCGGGAAATACAGTGTACAGTTATAGGCTATCTACTTGAGCTACTTTTTTTGCCAGTTTCATACCAATGTGGCATTTTTTAAAGCACAGACAAGCAGTACCTGATTGCAACACTCTTATTTTCAGTCACAAAATAAAACAAAGGCCAATGAAAGCTAATGAGGTTTAAAGTAAGTTTATTACCCACATTTAAAGAGCTTACAAGCATTTAGCGCTTTAAACGGTATAACTGATAACGCTTCCTTAAAGCCAAAGTTATTTTACTACAACAGCATCTTTATCAATTCCCTATACTGCTCTGTTATCACATTTCGCAACCGGTTGAATATAATGAAATTTGCCTCAGGCACAGGTGATGTCACCTTTCAGATCATCAAAGTTGATGTGACCCCACGAACCAGAGCTGTTGTCGACCAGTCGGATTTGTGCCTTTTGACCATAGAACTCTATGACATCCCAGGTCACCCTTTCCATTGTCTCGGTGCACTTACCGGTCACAGTCTTCTCCACCTGGAAAGTGAGAGTAAATCTATTAGAAATGCAATGAAACTTATTCTGTCATTAATGGGCATCGTTAAACCAGAAAGAGGAAATATTCCTGAACCTCCGGGAACATGCCGGAACACTAAAAATATAACACGGAAAAAAAAATGGATGAAAAATTGAGTCAAAAAAAGTAATTTAGGTTATTATCCATTGAGCCACGGTTTGATTGCATAGATCTTAGCTAAAGAGGAACTCCCTCTTGCTTGCGGTTAGTTCTTCTCTGGTTCTCTAGCGTTTAGCTTAGAATTTGTTGGAAAGGCCAACACAGTATGTGCATAAAGCTATATATTTCATTTATAGTTTAGATATTTTTGTGTCCCGGTATGTCTTATGTTCCTGGCAGAAGCAACACGTACGCAAAAGACGATTCCATCTAATCATGCCTGGCAAGAAAATAAAAATAAAAACCTGGAAACGAGAAAATATGTTTAACTGAAGTTTGAAAGGGGGTCAATTATGAACAAAAAAGAAATTAATTTATGTGACAATTTGAATTCCTGTCTTTTGAAAACAAAATTTGATGCCTAATTATTTATTTAGAGGCGTGGTATCTTAACTTTTCCTGACACGTTAGTGTGCTGAACTACTGTTGGAGCTGACCGTATGCGGACCCTGCTCGGTATTATGCTGCTGTGTTATTTGGCAAGACACGTAACTCTAACAGTGCCTCTTTCCACCCAGGAGTAAAACGGGTAGCAGCGATCAAGTTGTTGGGCAACCTAACAGAATGCTGAGGTGTTCTCTGCGATGGACTAGCATCCCATCCAGGGGGAGCAGCAATACTCTTAGCTGCCTCATGCAACTGACTTAAAAGGCTCTACCATCGTTATTTCTTACCTTGCCTTCAATAATCAACTCTGCGCGAACCAGGTTGACATCACAGCCTCCTCCAATCAGGAATGTGACGTATTTGCCCGTTATTGTAAAGGTTGTGGAAGTGAGAGTTCCTTGGGGTTTGTCTCCCTGAATTGCTCCGGCTATGTCATCCGGAGTGTGCCTGTCTTCAAATCCTCCAATCCAGTAGTCTCCTTGTTGATTGGCAGGCTGTCCTCTGTTACGAGCTGTAGGGTTGTCACCATAGGTCGGCTGGTTATCAAACGCTGTACCAGTCTTAGCCCAACCACGGAGTGTTCCATCTTCAAAGTTGAACTTGCAAGCTGCATATGAAATAAAAACATCTAAATATTACCGTCCAATTTGAACTGCGTGAATCATAAACTGCATATATTAAGTTAGACTTGTCCCTCCCTAGCAAGTCATTATGTGCTGATGTATATCACGTGACGAGGCTTGAAGAATAACATTTCCGTTGTCAGCCATCTTGACTGTGTCTTTACTTAACATCGTGTTCTGAAACTGTCGCCGTTCTTTAGAAATTGTATTATTCTACAAAAGTTGTCCTTCTTTACCAACTTATAATTATCAACGTTGTTTTGCTCTCATCAGTTGCTGCATATATAATAATTTAGTTCTGCATTTTGCAGATTGGCTTCTCTTGTAACTTAGGATTACTTAAATCTAAGGGGAATTATTACGAGCATGAGTTTGGCAGAAATCCAAAATTACTAATTGCAGAAGTGGTCTGAGGCCATAAAGTTAAAACAAATTGTTTTGGACCCTAATTATAGCATCTTAAGTTTTCCTTCAGTCTTAAGCAGTTTTGGACATGGAGAAAACGCGCCAGAATATCGTATTAAGGCCCCTGTGAGTATACTAACGTCTGCACTTGTCCACGCACATTGCTTCCAGTGTTTTAACCCTGTTTTCCAGCATTCCTATCTCCTGCCATACGTCTGCAGCAAGGGCAGGTTTGGCGTCTTCCATCATCATAAACAGCACCAGGCAGGTCATAACATCAATCCTCCATTGATTGGCCATTTCTGTGGAATATATGTTTGTACTCGCACACATATTCTTTACAGACATAGAGATGAAGGCCAAAAAGAGATTTTGCAGATTGTGAAATTTGTTTTATTGTCAATAACTCCGGCGCTGGTCTTCCAGCACACAAAACTATTTGCAGGGAATTTGTATTGGGAGAAAAGATTTAGGTTTGAGTTCATAAATGATCAATATATTTTCACAGAAGCATATCATCTTGAAGCGTTTAACTTCCCTTATCTGTTTTAAACTATGCTGGCGATTATTCCCAACCAATGAAAATCATTCTTCTAATTTTTGCCCATATAAGGAAATTCTGCATAGCGCGCTCTTCGCGAACTCCTCGCGTGAATCTCTTGCGAAACAAACCTGTTCAAAAT